CCATTTCAGAGACATCGGCTGAAATCTTTGAAAGCAGTGCACCAAACAGGGATTCTTTGGTAGTGACAGTGAGGATGTCATAATCGAACAGAGGGGCTGCCTGTACCGGGTTGCACACTACAGGAGAAGCCACTTCCTGGAGACAGATGATTTATGTTTTCTTTTGCTCCAAGCCTCAATCAGTTTGACCATCTCCTTAATATGTGATTCATCAAAATATCCCCCAGTTTATCAGGAGTGGCTTCTTCGGCTCAACAATGGGCTGAAGCACCTGAGTTGAATCCATCAAGAGAAGGTTTTTGGCCGGGCGCGGTGGCTCACACCTGTAATCCCAGCACTTTGGGAGGCTGAGGCGGATGGATCACTTGAGGTCAGGAGTTCAAGACCAACCTGGCCAACATGGTGAAACCCTGTCTCTACTAAAAATACAAAAATTAGCCAGGTGTGGCGGTGAGTGCCTGTAATCTCAGCTACTTGGGAGGCTGAGGCAGGAGAATTGCTTGAGCCCGGGAGGAGGAGGAGGTTGCAGTGAGCTGAGGTTGCACCACTGCCTTCCAGCCTGGGAGACAGAGTGAGACTCCACATCAAAAATAAATAATAAATAAATAAAGAAAAGACCTTTGTCTTGAGGAAGACAAAACACAGGAAAATTTGCAGCCTTTACAAATTGTACCTGATTTTGAAAATGATCTGATGGCTCAATTTATTTTGAGAATGGACAGCAACTTGTACCACTGGCACTGCAGGATTTGTATCCTGTAGCATTTAATGACCTCTTTAGTTGTGAATATAAAACCAAAAGATGCTATCTGAAGTTATATATGCCTTCTGTTGTCGTTTTCCAACTTAAGTATCCTTGATGTAAACAATGACAGGTGTCCAAACCATAATTGTTGGATACATTTGCATCAATTCCCATCAAAGGAAAGCCACTGTAAACATCACAACATGGTGATCGCCTGATCATTGCGTATCACCTGCTTTACGCAGTAGTATCCTTGGCCACCTGCACTTTTTTAAATGGCACAAGACTTAATGACACAATTTGGCATAAAACGATTTTTTTTTTTTTTGCAATACCATTTTTAAAGTAACAGGAAGAAATTTTAAAAAGTTTTTCATTGACCCTCTAAGACTCATTTATAGGTAGCCCTAGTGGATCACTTACCTAAGGCTGCCATATCAAAGTACTGCAAACTGAGTGGCCGAAAACTCCAGAATTAATTACTTTATTTATTTATTTATTCTTTTTTTTTTTTTTTTTTTTTTTTTTTTTTTTTTTTTTTTTTTTTTTTTTTTTTTTTTTTTTTAGTAGAGGTGAGATTTTGCCATGTTGGACAGGCTGGTTTCGAACTCCTGACCTTAAGTGATCTGCTCGCCTCGGTTTCCCGAAGTGCTAGGATTACAGTCATGAGCCACCATGCCCAGGCTCACCTGGCTAATATTTTGATGCTTTGTAGAGGTGAGGGGTCTTGCTGTGTTGCCCAGACTGGTCTCAAACTCCTGGGCTCAAGCACTGTCCTGCCTTGGCCTTCCAAAGTGCTAGTTTTATAGGCATGGGTCACCACACCCACACCACCAGAAATTTATTGTTTCCCAGTTCTGGGCCAGAAGCCTGAAACTGATGTGTCTACAGGGCTATGTTCCCTATGAAGTCTATAGGGGAGAATCCGTCCTTGCCCCTTTCTAGCTTCTAGTGGCTTGCTGATTATCTTTGACATACCTTGGCTTGCAGTGGCCTCACTGCACTCCCTGCTTTCACAGTCACTTGGCACTTTCCTGTGTATCTCTGTCTTTACATGGCCATCTCCTTGTAAGGACACCAGTCATAATGGATTGAAGGGCCCCGTACTTCAGTATGACTTTATTTTATGCATTTATTTTTTTGAGACAGAGTCTCACTCTGTCACCCAGGCTGGAGTGCAGTAGCGCAATCTTGGCTCACTGCAACCTCCTTCTCCCAGGTTCAAGAGATTCTTTTACTTCAGCCTCCTGAGTAGCTAGGATTACAGGTGTGCACCACCACACCTGGCTAATTCTTTGCATTTTTAGTAGAGATGGGGTTCCACCATGTTGGCCAGGCTGATCTCAAACTCCTGGCCTCAAGTGATCTGCCTGCCTTGGTATCCCAAACTGTTGGAATTACAGGTGTGAGCCACTGCTAATCAGTTAAGACTTCATCTTAACTAATTACATTTGCAGTGACCCTATTTCCAAATAAGGTCACATTCTGAGATCCTGGAGGTTAGGACTTCAACTTATGTTTTTGGTGGTGATACAATTCAACCCGTTACACCTGGAGCCCATGGATTGTGGATTAAGAACCTGCTGAGACAGTCAGAGGGCAGCATGGAGACCCTGAGACCAGAGGGTATGAAACAAGAGTGCAGAGAAGGAAGTGGTAGGGAGACAAATGGAACCCATTTTGCTATTTTTTTTTTGCAATACCATTGCAAACAAGACGGAGTTTCGCTCTTGTTACCCAGGCTGGAGTGCAATGGCGCGATCTCGGCTCACCGCAACCTCCGCTTCCTGGGTTCAGGCAATTCTCCTGCCTCAGCCTCCTGAGTAGCTGGGATTATAGGCACGTGCCACCATGCCCAGCTTATTTTTTGTATTTTTAGTAGAGACGGGGTTTCACCATGTTGACCAGGATGGTCTCGATCTCTTGACCTCGTGATCCACCCGCCTCGGCCTCCCAAAGTGCTGGGATTACAGGCTTGAGCCACCGCGCCCGGCCCATTTTGCTATTTTGCCCATAAATTTGGTAGCAATGATCTCTCCCTGCAGTTTTGGGTGTGAGGACTTGAGTGACTGATGGCAATAGTTGGTGAATTTCCACAGCTGAAGATACTCAAGTTCTAGATTTGAGTCGAGGCTACAAAGGGAAGTTTGTGGTTGTGTCCAGGACACTCTCTGCTGATGCTATTTGTTTGAAAATGTCTGAATTTTGTGCATAGACACACTAGCAGTATTTTCATAAGTGGAGTTACATAATTAGGCATGGACTTGCATAATAATTAGCATGTGTAATTAGGCACAGGCTTCTTGTCCTTTAGACAATCAAGACATCTAATTACAAAATTAAGATGTAATTATGTGGTCCAAGGTCTACATCTTTTTTCCTACCCATTAGAGATTACATTTAGAAAATAATTCCAAAAAGCTGATGAAGAAATGAACGTAGACGTCGATTTGAGGATGTTAAAGAAAGTGTTAAGGGCTGGTAAGTTTCCTTTGGTCTTTCCTCTCAGTTGTCAGGGGAATTATTTAAAACATTCTAGTCCACTTGAAAGAATAACTTTTACCAACTGTGCTGTCGACCTTCGGTACTCACACTAATGAAGAGGAGTGTTGGTATGACTAATCCGTGCCATTCACGCCTGGCTCTTGAGTGTGGTTTGTAATCACACTTGAACATGGACCTAAATGTGATGTACTGGGAATTCATTCAAACCTATTAATGCAGCCATGCGGTGGAAATCTTAGGACAGCTTGGGATAGAGGACATCCTGCCTTCCCATTCTGCCGTCGTTCTCCCCTGTGACCACTTTAAAAATCAACCCATTGGCCAGGCGTAGGGGCTTATGCCGTTAGTCCCAGCACTTTGGGAGGCCAAGGCAGGAGGATTGCTTGAGGCCAGGAGTTAAGACCAGCCTGGGCAACATAGTGAGACCCTGTCTCTACAAAAAATCTGAAATACTTGTTGGGAATGGTGGCACATACGTGTTGTCCCAGCTACTTGAGAGGCTGAGGCAGGAGAATCACTTGAGCCCAGGAGTTTGAGGCTGCGTTGAGCCTCCATTGCACTCCAGCCTGGACGACAGAGAGACCCTGTCTCTAAATAAATAAATAACACATTGCTCAGAATAATGCAAACCAGCACCTAAGCTGTGTTGTCCTTTCCCTGGATATTTGAGTATTTTTATTTTAAATGCTCCTTATTGACTGCAGGTGGGAAAGATCAAAGACTATAGCAAATACTCTGTCCTTCGAAAAAGAGCGATTCTTATAGCAGTAATTGTTTGAATTCCAATACACAGAGAAAGCTAGATTGTAGTGATATTCACCATGTTTTTCCTTGCCCTTAAATTGTGATTTGGCTGATCTCTGCGTGATGCTAAACAACCAGTTTGACTCATTAATTTTGCTGAATTAACTGAACTTTTGACCTAATTGGCTGCTGGTTAGGGATCAGAGCCATATGTGCAGGTTTTTCTAAGCCAGTTCTGACTTTAACAGTGTTATCCCTCTGTTCCTATAAACTGTTGAAATACCCGAATAATTCCAATGTTTTGACAGCCACACTGCACTTCTCAGACTGCCGCTTTCTCCTGGAAAGTGGCACAGAAATCTGTCGGACCACGCTTCCTGATTTTTGGTTAAGAAAATATGCTTCCCATATGGTTGCAAGCCGAGAAAACAAAGACTTAAAGAGGTTGTAAGCATTTGGTGATAGGTCTCCTCCTCATGGCGCCTTCCCTCCGTTCCTATTTTTTATATTCTCTATAAGGCCAGGGAATGTGGTGAATGACAAATTGTGTGTGTGGCAGGGAGGGGTCAGTCTTGACCATGAAAATACACACATTTGCACAGGGAGCTTTTGCCATTGTTGGTTTTTTTTACCTTGCCTTCTGAGCAATTGCTCATGATAGATATAGAGGCAAAGGAAAGGAACTGGGGAGAGGGGCGTTTTAAAAACCATTTATTAACACGAATTCTAGGTCAGAGAAGGGCAGTTGGACTACATCATCTCTAAGGCATCTCCAACTCACAGGTTTTGGGATACCTTGATCTCCAGCCGGTCACTCAACAGGAGGTATTTACTGGATTCCTACTCAACTCTAGGCCTCTGATTTTTCAGTTCTTAGATATGTTGACTGGAAACCTATTATTTTGCCTTTACTTCCAGAGAACTCGGTAACTCCAGTTCCTAATAGAGCCTAAAGCATGAATGCAACTTTCATTTCTCAGCTTTTGAAATCTGCTTTTCCCTCCAGGTACTCCACGTCAGCGTTCTCAAGACTGGAGAAGTTAGGCATCAGACATCCCAAGCCTTCTCCTTTTATTGGAAACTTGATGTTTTTCCGCCAGGTAAGGGCTATCTTCCATTGGCTTCCATCATAAAATATACTGAGGGCCAGGCATGGTGGCTCATGCCTGTAATCCCAGCACTTTTGGAGGCTGAGGTGTGTGGATCACCTGAGGTCGGGAGTTCGAGACCAGCTTGACCAACATGATGAAATCCTGTCTCTACTAACTACAAAAAATTATCTGGGCATCAATCCCAGCTACTTGGGAGGCCGAGGCAGGAGAATCGCTTGAACCCCAGAGGTGGAGGTTGCAGTGAACTGAGATTGTGCCATTGCACTCCAGCCTGGGCAACAAGAGTGAAACTCTCTCAAAAAATAAAAATAAATAAATAAATAAAACATGCTGAGCCTGAGACAGGCTTTCTGCATGAAACATTGCTCTTGTCCAGGTCCCCACATCTCGAGTGGTAAAGTTGTTCTGTGACGCCACGAACCCTCCTCTCCTTATATGAATTTTTATGTGATGTCAAGAATTCACTTACCCATTTCCCCCAAACCCCATTTATTGTGTGTCTAAATACACCAGACCCTAGAGTGTAGAAGAGGCTACTTGTGCCCTCAAGTACACTGTCAAATGATGACATGCAACACCAGATGAGATATACCCTAGCACTAGACAGGGTGGTATAGACGGTAGCCGTGGTCTCCCGTCAGAGGAGAGGGTCATCTGTCAGGGCCAGAATTATCCTAGGAAATTCCTGAAGAAGGAGGTCCTTCACGGGCTGTGGACATAGAGATGAGGACACACACACCAGGTGGGCGGCACCATGTGAGTTAGTGCACCAACGTGAGAATGACGGCACAGGTTGACCACCAGCCTGGACTGGCTAGAAGCCAAGGATTAGGGTGCTTGGGGCAATGTAGTTGGGTGAGAGAAAAGGGGACTAGATGCTTACAGGCTAGAAAGGCAAGTGAAGAACTATTTGTGTGCTACCATTTTTGCAAAGGAGAGGGACGTTGGAATGGAAGAATACTCTGCAAGGGAGAAGAATCTCGGTCTAGCATTTTGTCCTATATGTTTCAAACGTGTTGATTTTAATTAAAGTTTAACTTGAATGGCTCATGATGATTCAGAATTTGTGATAATTTCAATAGAAGAATCTAGGTTAGGGTTGTAGAGCCAAGCTGTTGCTGAAGTCTGGGGTGAAGCCATGATGGCTCGGTCTAGGTGGATGAGAGTGAAGAGAGACGGATAATTGGAAGCAAAATTAGGAACTCTTGGGACAAATGAGTGTAGAGAATTCAAGGCAAAGTGAGTCAAACATGAGTCTGAGCTTTGAGCCGGGGAAACGGGGAGCATGGCCATGGGTTGACAGAATAAAAGGTTGGGCAGGGGAGTGGTTCAGGGAGATGCCAAGTTTTATTTTAAGTCTGTTGCCTGGGATTTGCCAGAGTGACATGCCAGTGGAAATGGCCCGCAGACATTTGTAGATATAGGTCAGGACTTCATAATCTACGGTTATTTTTCTCACATTGGGTTTTCTCAGAAGCCACATGGCTTATTCTGCTAAGTCACGAGGACACTGACTCCAGACCCAACACCAGGAGCCAGCAGACCCTGCATGGGAAGAATCACCAAGCCAAACAAAGACAGGAAGACTCAATAGGGGACGATCCTGATAATGTCTCTTCAACATCTCTAGAATTCCCCCATCTCTACCTCCGGAAAGGCTGGCCCTTGGCACTCGATAGAAAAGCAAGCTGCTCTTTCAGTCCTTTTATGCCTCCTCCTTCTCAATTATTTCTTTTCCATTCCTTTCCCTGTCCATCTCCTTTTCCATGATTTGTGGCTGTTGTTTCTGTCTTCCTAGCATTTTTAAACACCTTCTTCTCTCCTCTCTCTCTCTCTGGGGTGGGCAGTTCACAACTTTCAAGCTCACAAACAACCTCAATGAGGCTTCCAGTGAGCCCCTTGAAACAAGTGTGAAGAAATTTAAAAGTGTCAAGATAGAACAACAGACCAGATCGAAAAGCTAAAGAAAATACATTTCACACATTTCTGGGGGGAAATGATCTGTTGTATTCCGTGGAGTAATTAATTTGGTATTAACATTCCGAGATGTGAGGAGAACGCTGTGCCCGCCTCTGGAGAGCCTCCACATACATACACTCCTTTGCAGCCCGCCATCCTCACAGCTACAGGCCCTGCCAAGTTCTTTCTAGAACATAGTAATTTTGGTGACTATTTTTATATGCGTATATGCTTTCCTTGATGTATGGCAAGCTTACGCTGCAGAATTCAGAAGATTGAGTGAGAAAAGCACGTGTTTCCATGCAGGACATTCATACTTCATGTGAATTCACACCCCCAGCTCTCCACCTTCATTCCGCCCCCATACTCCATTCTCACAATGTAAATCTACCATTTGCCACCCCCCACCCCCACCCCAACTCATGAGTATTTTCAGGTCTAGTCCCTTCCCACCACACAATGGGCCTAGCATATTCCACCCCTCCTTCAGCCCATTATATAATGCTTTCCCATTATAAAATGTGTCTAGCCAGGCACAGTGGCTCACACCCGTAATCCCAGCACTTTGGGAGGCCGAGGCAGGCAGATGACCTGAGGTCAGGAGTTCCAGACCAGCCTGGCCAACATGGTGAAACCCCGTCTCTATTAAAATACAAAAATTAGCTGGCATGGTGGCACGTGCCTGTAATCCCAGCTACCTGGGAAGCTGAAGCTGGAGAATCGCTTGAACCCGGGAGGTGGAGATTGCAGTGAACCGAGATCGCGCTGCTGCACTCCAGCCTGGGTGGCAGAGCAAGACTCTGTCTCAACAACAACAAAAAAGTGGCTAGCATTTTGTTCTATATGTTTCAAACATGTTGATTTTAATTCAAGTTTAACTTGAATGGATCTTGATAATTCAGAATTTGTGGTAATTTTGATAGACTCAGTAGAAGTTACATATAGTGGCAGTATAAAGGGGCTTGGCCCTATGATAATGCTAAATCAAATTTCAGAGGGCAGTGTTAGAGTTGAGAAAGCAAACTTTTTGAATATTTTAGCAGCAAGGATACATAAGTAGTTTAAGAACTGGTGAGCTCTTCTGTCCGTTACAGCAGGGATGCCCAGGACTTTTACATGGTAATATTTTTTTATAGTCATTTGTTTATTCCAGTATTCCAAAGTACTTGAAAGCAATATAACTTCCCTTCTTTTTTATTGTTTCTGTAATTGTGTTCTTGCTGTTCCAGATTTTTTTTCTGAATAAGTTTGAATAATTGGAATTTTGCTTAATCTTATTCTTACTGTAGTGCTGTGTTTCCTTCAGGGTTTTTGGGAAAGCCAAATGGAGCTCAGAAAGCTGTACGGACCTCTGTGTGGGTAAGAAGGAAACTCAACATTTCTCTTTTATATGAGATTTCGATTTTCATGTGTTGAACTAATATGGAAGAAGTGCCAAGATTAGGAATGTTGCATGTGTTTCTGTTTCTCGAAGGGGCCGCAAAGAGGGTGTCCTGCAGTGCAAACGAGGCTTCTAGAGGAGACCCTGGGGCTGCCCCAGGGGGAACTGTGCTGGCCTGAAAGAGTACCACCTTCCAGGCTTTGCAGCCTTGCTGGGCTGTGCACATCATCAGGTCCTGCTGCTGTGGTGAGGGATGTCACCATGGGATGTGGTGGCCCTCTTGCCTCAGAGCACAAACTGTCCAATATGCCTTGACAGTGCATAGCAGGTCTTACCCCATGAGCATATCTGAACCTTATCAGATTCGGGTCCTTCAGCCCATGGGGAGAGTGTGCTGCCAGCAGCATGACCATGTAATTTATCACCCAGTCCAGTTCCCCTTTGAAAGTGACAGGAAGTGCTATTAATAATTACCCCAGGATTACCGTGTCAACTATCCCAGATACGCTGGGGCAGAGGGTCACCTTAGTTCTTGGCTGTGTAAAGTAGTATCGCCCTTCTCTTTATTTTTTCTGAATTTCCCTTTTTTATGCTCTTTTCTTTCTAAAATTCCAGATTCTGGTGAGCAAACCCATGTTCAGACCACTTACTCTATTCAAGATTTAACAGGCTTGAATTGTATTGATTCTCAACATGTGTCTTTCCACACTGGAGTCCTAATCATTTTAGTCGGTTTTCACACAGCTTCTCTTCAGCCACTGGGCGATTTTTTGGCAGCTTTCCCTAGACCTCTGGGTCAGTGATCGCTTTTCTAGGTGCATTAAAGCTCTCTTGTGTTGCTGATATACATCCCAATGGGCTCCAGTGATTTGGGAGTCCTCTTTCCATAGGATTCATGATGTCTGGTCTCCTGATACCCATTTTGGAAAGGGATTTGCTTGTCGTCTTTGTGGAAATGGCCCCACTTAAGAGGCCCATGGTTTTGGTCAAGTTATTCTACCTTTGGTTTGCTATGTGGCCCTGAAGAAGTAATAAATTAAGATGTTCTCTGTATTACTCATTGCTGCATAATAGACTACCTCAAAACTCAGTGACATAAACAACAATTTATCATTTATCATGTGTCTAAGGGTTGGCTGAAGTTGGCTGGCCTAAGCCACACTTGGCTGGATGGCCCTGCTGTACTTCTGAATGTATCTGCTGGGGAGGGTCTCAACTGGGGCACCAAGTCTCTGCTTGTCTCTCATTCTCCTCGGAACTATAAGGAGAATGGCAGGTTCTTGTTGTAAAGGCAAAAACTCAGGAGAGCAAGCCTGATGGTGCCAGAAAGTTATACATTTCTGCTGCATCATGTCAGCTTATACCCTATTGGTCAAACCAAGTCATATGGCCAAACCCAGGATGTGGGCAGGAGGACACGTGGCCACTTTGAGGCCAAAGCAAAACACCTTGCCCAGGCTGACACTGATGGAGCAGGGAGGTGTACTCCTCGGATGGATGAGTGGGGAGGCCGGGCCTATCGTTAAATAACAAGCAACCTACTTCACTCCCTAAAATCTCTTTTAGCTTGGCCTTCACTTACTTAAAATTTTTATTTTTCAGTGCATAGCTTCTTGTTTTAAGCATGATAGGCACTCGATAAAGGCTCAAGAGATTGACCTATCCACCTTTCTCTTACCCTTGTGTGGTTCTATTGTTTTTTTTTTTTTCTGAGATGGAGTCTTGCTCTGTTGCCCAGGCTGGAGTGCAGTGGGACGATCTTGGCTTACTGCAACCTCTGCCTCCTGAGCTCAAACAATGCTCCTGCCTCAGCCTCCTGGGTAGCTCGGATTACAGGTGCCTGCCAGCATGCCTGGCTAATTTTTGTATTTTTAGTAGAGACAGGGTTTTGCCATGTTAGCCAGGCTAGACTCAAACTCCTGACCTCAAGTGATCTGCCCATCTTGGCTCCCAAAGTGCTGGGTTTACAGGCATGAGCCGCCACACCCGGCCTATTGCTTTTTAAAGGTTCTCATTCCAGCTCTTTCTTTCTGACAGTCTCATTCTGTAGCTGACTTGGCAATGACTTGGAGACTGTCTCATATGCTTCTGAGACACAGCACTGACTCAGAATGACGGTGCCTTCACCAGAATCAGAAAAAGTCCTGACTGAGTTTGAATTCTAGGAACCACTTTACTTCAGTGTTTCTTGTACAGATTTCCAAAGTAGAGACTTCGGGTATTTTAAAATAATTTTTAAATGTCAGATGAATAGTTTAAAGAGCACTGTATGAACTAGTTTGTGTGTGTGTGTGTGTGTGTGTGTGTTTGTGTGTGTGTGAAAGAGAGAGAGAATGAGAAAGAAAGAGAGAAAATGACAGAAACAGAGAGAGAAGGAGAAAGAGAGGTGGAGAGAATTAGTTTCCTTGACAACAGCATGTCCAATCAACTTTTTCCTCCAACTTTAACTAAGTTAACACAATTTGTCCTTTTCATTTCAAGAAAACCTAAATCATAGAGAATGATTTCAAATGAGGTTATAGAGATCAAAATTGCAGTATCATCTTCATTCTTTGTTCCCACTTCCAGTGAAAAGGAAAAAAGAGAGGTGATGGCATAATTTCTTCCTATAAAGCTATCAACCTTTTTCCTTTGTCAAAAGAAAGATGAGCCATAAAATGCTGACTTCTTTTTAAATGTGTCTACTCCCAGATTTAGAGGCAATATGGTGGCGAGGTAAAAATGAAAAGGTTGAACCAATCTAAACCTAAGATCTTTTCTAACTCTAAATGTTATTTTCTTACTGCTTAAATTTTAGCAAGATAGTTTCCCTGATTGAAAATGGTCTGTGCTCAGTGAACAACGAAGACTCTTCTTGCAGAGAACAATTTGATTTAAATTACATTAGTTTTTGGACTATTTCTATTAGGAAATATAATCAACCCAGCTTGGTCCTCTTAAAAATTGTAATAATAGATTGATTCATCATTTGACAAGTGAAACCCCACATTCCACGCTGTTGATGCCATGTAGAGATGCATCGGGCCTTTAGATGACAGCTTGGCACTGAATGTTGGGAGAAAAATGGGCAGGGCGGATCTCCTCACTGCTCTAGACTGGAAAGCCAAATGTGATGGCAATGCATACTTACTTATCTGATTGTCACCCTAGCAACTCAGAGTTTGGGGCTCAAAACTGGAAATTGACCCCTTACCCCATTTCCCTCCCACTTCTTGCTATGGGGACAGCAGGGCTGGAGGAGGTTTCCATCAAGATAGGTTGACAACATCAAGGTTTATCATTACCACCACCACTCCCACCAGCACCACCAGCACCACCACCATCATTGAGAACAAAATATCTTCACCAAGTGTCTACTTACGTAGCCTGCTTGCCAGGTTCTGTGTCTCTGCCTTCTTTGAACTTGACTATAAAGCAGGAGGACTGGAGATACCTATGCAGCTATTAGTTGTGGTATAAAGAACTCTCCTGCATTGCACAGCAGACTGGCCACGTAACACAAAGAAGGCAAGGCTTTATTGCTTTGGCTAACCATCATCAATTAATGATTACTTGTTACCTCCTTCAGGCTGAGAATGTGCCCAAGTTAGATTTATATTCCTTTCCAAACTCTGTAAGAACAGAATCAACATAATTATCATACATTGGTGATTGAGTATGGTTTATATTCAATATATACCAATATTGAATATAAACATATATTGATATATATTGAGTTTAAACATATATATTGATATATACTCAATATATCCTGTTTGAATAGAGATTATATCCCCTCTAGTTTGTAGCTGGACTTTGTAACCCAGTAGATGACAAGCCTTTATTATGTTATTACTATTAATTACTTATAGTTAAGTAAGAATAAATATGTACACAGCACCCTAAGTTCAGGTCATTAGCAACTCCTAAAGGCCCCCATTCAAAACGGCTTTTCCCTTTATCTCATTGTTTTGCTTTTGTTTTTGTTCTTGTTTTTGAGACAGAATCTTGCTCTGTAATACAGGCTGGAGTGCAGTGGCACAATCTCAGCTCACTGCAACCTCCACCTCCCAGGTTCAAGTTACTCTCTGGTGCCTCAGCCACCTGAATTGCTGGGATTACAGGCATGTGCCACCACGCCCAGCTAATTTTTGTATTTTTGGTAGAGACAGGGTTTCACCATGTTGGCCAGACTGAACTCAAACTCCTGACCTCAAGTGATCCACCTGCCTCGACCTCCCAAAGTGCTGGAATTACAGGCCTGCGTCACCATGCCCAGCCTATCTAATTGTCTTTTAAATGCTTGCTCTAAAGTTCTACTTTTCTTTAGCCTCACCCCCATTTCTTCTTTCCTCCACATCACTTTGGTGTTGATCTTGGCTCCCTCTCGTTGAGCTTGACTTTCATACTTCCTGGCATCCATCACCTGTGCCAGGAAGTGCTACTTTTGGTAAGTGGCTCCTGCATCCCTGGATCCCTTCATGAAGCCGGCCTTGTTGCAAAACCTCATATACTCCCATTAGAGCAGCAAGTTGTAGGTAGGTAAGTGTGAACTTTGCACATAATTCATAAAGTACAAAGGAGTATAAGAAAAAAGTACTCTTGCTCCCACCCTGGGGCCCAGCTGCTCCTTCACAGAAGCAACCTCTGTTAAAAATTTCTTTATAGTCAAATGGATCATATATGATATATGCTGTTCTTTACCTTGCTTTGTTCATTAATGGTATTTGGGAAATTGTCCCATTTTGATCCATTCATTCTTGTTAAATTATATAGTATTTTTAAAGGATTTCCTTGTATGAATGTATCCTAATTTTTAAAACAAGTTCTCAGTTGACAAATATCTCTTACTTTTACAGACACCATTGCAGTGAAGATTTTCATATACACATTGTTGCTGTCTGGGATAAGTATGTAAGATAAATTCCTAGAAATGGAATTAATAGGCCAAAGATGGTCTACCTTTTTAGTTTTGATAAATAGGACTAAATTTCTCTCT